GATACCAATTCAGTGCAAAAAATTAATGAACGTCAAAAAACTTTAAACAAAAGTTAATTTTTAAATAAAGACAGAATTACGTTTATTTGTACTATCTAAATTTTTCTCAGGAAAGAGTCTTCTAAAATATCCGTTCGTGCATATCAAATTGTCTCTTAATTTTCCCTCGTGAGCTACGCTCACTCGGGGAAAATTAAAATTGTCGACAATTTGACATGCACTCGGGATATTACTACTGAATATTCTATAGCAAGATTTGACAAAGATACAGGCACAATCTCTTAAGAGAAAACTTGGTATTCGATCATGACCCATAGCTAAGGATTTTTTTCATTTTTTTAAAGCGAGAAATTTGTCATTTTCAGATATATGGGTAATATTTACGAAAACCGACGAGTTAATAATGACGTTAGTTAAAGTTGAGTTTGAACTGGAAATCTTATAGACGAGATTACAATATTTAGCGAAGCCTTCAATAATAGAGTCTGGCGTATTTAATTCCTCATAATTATATTTCATTAAACCAGGAATTCTTGAGTGACCTTTTCTGCTATAATCAATGTCCAAATTTTTTTTGGGTGAGTAAATATTTAGTTGACTTTCGATGTGTAATAAAATTTTTAGAAGTAGCACTTATTAAATTTTCTAGGAGTGATCTATAATTTTTGAATATATTGTACTAATAATCTGTTCCATACTTTTTGAATCCACGGTGAGCTAAAGATTTGTCTTGAATACATTTTTACTTCCCGAGCGTAAGCAAAGGAAGTATTGTAATCGAGTCCGTCGGCCGACTCTCTACTTTTACGTTTTCTCGATCTTTCATGACCCCTAGAAGACGAAGAAATAGGTCTCCCATTTCCGTCTGTTTGTCCGTCTGTCCGTCTGTCCGTCTGTCCGTCTGTCCGTCCGTCTGTCCGTCCGTCTGTCCGTCTGTCCGTCTGCCGTCCCGGATTTTTATTAGACAGATAATCTCCGAAAGTAGGGGAACTAGGGGCTTGTTGTAACACTAAATTTTTACCCCCAATTTAAACTCTTTAACGTCAGGTTTTTTACTGAATTTAATTCTTGCACCATAAGACATCATATCATCACAACCACTGTTCCTTGAGCCAGCGCAGTGAGTGGATGTGTGCACGTGTTTCGTTTTGGCCAAGTAATGTAAAATATTGCTTTAGTAAAATTTGGTTTTTCGTATCAGTTATTAATTAATTTAAAACTTTTAGTTTTGCATGTAGCTCAAAAATTATTCAGCTTTGATATTCCTTACACATTTTGACACTAAGCCACATAATTTTGTCGAAATGTAATTAAATGTAGAAAATTGTGCTACGGGGCTTGTTGTAACAATAGCTTTGGGGCAAGTTGTAACATGTTACAACTTATCCCAAATTCACTTCTACAAATCTCGTACCTAGCATACGAAAAGAGAGCCAAAATTTTGACCTATGGCATATATCACTTTCCAGATATATTAAGAAAAAGGAAGACGACACTCAAATTTTTAATGTTAACTCTTTTTCTAAAAGTTTATTTCAGTTTTACTGAAAAAAAATTATTTATAATGAAGTGTTGTGTTGATTTTTGAAAAATAAAGTCTAAATATGTATCAACATCAGCTTTATTTTTACTGGTACTACCTGTCTCATGGCTGTTACAACTAGCCCCAACCACGGGGCAAGTTGTAACAATGCACTTTTTTTAAGAAAATGCCTGGTGTGAAGTGAAGATGAGCAATGTTGACCTTTTGCCTGTTCAGTCCAATAGAGGAATAGTTAGACTACCGATAGATATTTTTATAATGGTCAAACAGCTAATAGATACCAAATTATATTCGTTTTCCTAAAAACTGTTACAACAAGCCCCTCGTTCCCCTACTCGACCGATTGTTGTGAAATTTTGTACTTATATTAAGAATATCATGTAGATGGTAAAACGCTAACCAAAATTTGTCTAATCATCCCCACCACTAATGCGATGACGTCACTTCAAAATTGTACATAGTAAATGGGTTTTCAATTGTATAAAATAACATAGTCCTACACATGTAGTTTACAACTCTGAATCGACTTTTCACCCGAAACGTCCAGATTTTTGGAAAAAAAATCTAAATTATAAAACAACATTTTGAAATTTAATTTTTAATCTGCTAACCAGAATGCTTTGAAATGTTGCAGATGTTTTAAGGCTATAAAGGGCATCATAAATCTTTAGTCAAAAAATATTTGCTTATCCCCTCCAAAAACTTGATGACGTCAGATCAAAAGTTTGTGGAATAAATCATATCTAAAATGTACAAAAAAATTAATGAATGCGTAAATTTATTTTACTGATTTACTCAGAAACTACAAAACCGAATGCTTTAAAATCTTGCAGATGTTTTAAGGTTATAAAGAGCATAATAAATGTTTAGTCAAAATATATTTGCTTATCCCCTCCAAAAAATTGATGACGTCAGCTCGAAAGTTTGCCGAATAAATCCTATCTAAACTGTAAAAATATGATGAGTCTGTACTTGTAATTTATCACTTCATTCATATTTTTTGGATTTGCATATACAGGGTGACTCAAAAAAATTAATGAATGCGTAAATATATTTTATTGATTTAATCAGGAACTACAAAACGGAATGCTCTGACATCTTGCAGATGTTTTAAGGTTATAAAGAGCATAATAGATGTTTAGTCAAAATATATTTGCTTATCCCCTCCAAAAACTTGATGACGTCAGCTCGAAAATTTGCCGAATAAATCATATCTAAAATGTACAAAATATGATCAGTCTGTACTTGTGATCTATCACTCCATTCATATTTTTTGGATTTGCATATACAGGGTGATTCAAGAAAATAAATGAAAGCGTAAATTTATATTACTGATTTACTCAGGAACTAAAAAACCGAATGCTTCGAAATCTTGAAGATATTTTAAAATTATCATACGCATGGTAAATTTTTGATCAAAATGTATTTGGTCGTCCCCCCTAAAAAATTTATGACGTCACCACAAAATTTTGCTGAATAAATCCTATCTAAAATGTACAAAATATGGTGAGTCTCTTCTTGTGATTTATCATTCCATTCAAATTTTTTCGATTTGCATATACAGGGTGACTCAAAAAAATTAATGAATGCGTAAATTTATTTTATTGATTTGATCAGGAACTACAAAACCGAATGCTTTGAAATCTTGCAGATGTTTTAAGGCTATAAAAAGCATAATACATTTTTTCTCAAAATATATTTGGTTATCTTCTACAAAAAACTGATGACGTCAGCTCAAAAGTTTGCCGAATAAATCGTATCTAAAATGTACAAAATATGATGAGTCTGTACTTGTGATTTATCATTCCATTCATATTTTTGGATTTGCATATGCAGGGTGACTTAAAAAAAATAATGAAGGCGTGAATTTATTTTATCGATTTAATCAGGAATTACAAAACCGAATGCTTTGAAATCTTGGGAATATTTTAAAGTTATTATAAGCATGGTAAACTTTTGTTCAAAATGTATTTGTTCATCCCTCCTAAAAAATTGATGACGTCACCCTTAAATTTTGCTGAATAAATCCTATCTAAAATGCAAAAAATATGATGAGTTTGTACTTGTGATTTATCATTCCATTCATATTTTTTAGATTTTCTTAAGAGGTGTTTCAAAAAAATTAATGAAGTCAATTTATTTTATTGATTAAATTAAAGGCAACACTTATTATTAGTATTACACCCCAACCAACCCGATTTGGTAGACACAAAATTTGTTAAAGGAAAAACTCGGTTGAAACATAAGGGTAGTACGCTTATTTACATCGACTTTAACATTACAGACCTGCATTTGTTTTATGCGCTCACTTGGTTCCGCGAATGTGAAATAGACATGTTTATAATCAACCAATTGTGAATTTCACCGTCAAGAATTAAAATAAAACCCAATGTTTTATATAATAAGCGGAAGTCGAAGCAATAAAATCGATGGTCGTTTTGTTTACAGTTTCTCTGTTTGACTCTCACGTATGCTGTTACGCTTGTCATCTTAAATTAAGAATGTTTATACATAAACGATTTTCAGTTGCCCCTCATATTACTAGACAGCGGATTTCTGTCGGGCTACGTCACGATTGTAGGGGGGACGTGCTGGATCGCCGGGTGATAGATAATCACTGAATTTAGTCGGGACTAATTCCATAAATATAATTAACGATTTATTAATCAAACGGCTAAGTAAATGAGAACGGGAATTAACAGCAGAGTGCAACGAAACAGCGTTATTCTAATCTCAAATAAACGAAGTGCAGTCCGCAACCGCAATGAATTCGCATCCCGTACGAGCCGTACCGAGTTTGGCCTTGCCTAGCCCGACAGAAATCCGCTCTCTAGATATTACACACCGGCGTCGTATACCTGAGTAAATTGTTTCGTTATTTTATTGATTATAAGAAATCAATATTCAAAACGACCCAATTCATTTTCCCGAAAATTTGGAAATACAATAACTTTATTCTTAGTATTACACTACATCTATCCCAACTGATATACATGTACTTGCAAAAATGTTGATGACGTCATCACAATTTTTTTTTAAATTCCCACTACAAAAATGTAATGAGAAAAAAAAACACAATAGGCATGCAGTCGTCAAGTTTCCGATAGCGAGGGAAGTACTGTCTAAACTCTTTAAACCAATTTTTTTAGTCATTTTTGACAATTGGGTTATTAAAAACACCTATCAGTTTACAAAAATCAGGCATTACATTTAATAAAAACAATGAATACAGTATCCATCAAAAACTATTATATTCTGCTAATATGAAAATGAAATGCAAAGATAAAGAATTGCTTTGAAAAGGACTGATTTTACTAAAATAATGAAAAAAACTATACTTCAACTGAATAAAAAACACCCCAAACTCACAATATTGTGAATACGCACACTTCCCCGTAACCATATTAAATTTACCACAAGAATGCGTCATAACACTAGAGAGCTAGAACTGACTTACATCGACTTTCTAGTCAACAAGAACGATATATTCTTTGTCCGTGCGTTGATCAGGTGCTTTCATTTCTATGTTTGTTCAGCATAATGTATATGTCCGTCATTTACGTAACCATGAATGATGCTTTAGGTTCCATTCATCGTTTAAGATTCCTCCAGAAGGCAATAAATTGGAGGCTCTGTTTCGTACAAATCTGCGTAGATATTAAGCTAATAAGTGTCAGAATTTATAATTTGTGACAGTTTCGAAAACAAACTTCATACTTACAGTATGACAACTTGATGTTTTTACGGTATTTTAAAAATACAAAAATTATAAAATTTAGTAAATAAGGCTTTTACATGTGTAAACATTTCAGTACGAGAAGACGACACCGTTGTATTGTATTGTATTGTTATATGTTGTACTAGCAACTCGGTCCGGGTTCGCATAGATAGCATTAAGTATGTATGTCCAGATCATTTGTCTGGTGGTGAATTGTGTATTATTTGACTTATTTCAATATTGCCCGAAGAATAACACTGTTTATTCAATCCTATGCACTGCAATAAGTCAATTAACTTCTAAAATTCACTCAGAGAAAGGTACGTAATTAATAAACCGATTTACAAGATACATTTTTAAGGGATCTATAGTCTCTGTCATTTCTGTTGAAACACCACTTGTTGTTCGTAAATTTGGCAACGTTCGTTTCAGACAATTTTCTAACTAAAAGCCGTTCTCAATCAATCGAAAGCCTTTTACCAATTGCTAAATTTTACGCGGTGTATCAATAGAAATGGCAAAGACAATATCTAATAATTTTGCACAACAGACTACAATTATCATGGTTAAACCAATTTACACAAAATCTTCATAAATTAACACCTAAACCTTCCTTGTGAATCGCTCTACCTGTTGGTGAAAACAACATGAAAATCCGTAGAGTAGTTTTTGTGATTATCTCGTTTAGACACAGAGACAGAGACACTCTGTTTTATGCTATGTAGTAGTTTTCAACAACAAAACAACCATTTTCATTTGCGGTTCGTTGTGTCAATTACAAATTCTATTGACCCCGTATTATACGTAGAGATCATGGAGGTAATATAACTTATTCTGCCTCCATGGTAGAGATTTGCTTTGCGTGGGAGTGAAATAAACTTGTAGCAAATTCGCTTAAAGCAGACAAAGCGCCACAATTTTTACGACGGAGCTAATTAATTAAGTGTTTAGCATAACTTGACATTACTTTTAAAGAGAATTTAGAGAAAATTGCTAATTTTAAGGGGATTTCGAAAATAATTCAGAATGCCTTATTCCATGCTTGCTGTTTGTCAAGACAAAATTAAACCAGAAATCACTACATTAGATTTTATAGCCGTTCAAGTTGACGAAAGACAGTTACCCAGAAAATAAAATTCGCAAATTTTATAATTTTTCAAAGAAGCTGTATTTGTTCGCCTATACTCAGTGTTGGGCAATATCTAGATTCTTGTATCTAAATAAAGTACCTAGATACATTTTTGGGTATCTAGTATCTGTATCTAGATCAAATCGAATTTAAGCACAAAATATCTGTATCTAGATACAAAATTAATGGCGCAGATACAGATAAATTTTTTTATTTCACTTTTTTTCAGTAGTTATGAGTTGAGTTATACTAGTAGTAATTTTTGATACTTGATGTTGGTGATTTTGGACACATAAACAAAAATAGAGGTAAGAGGTCCACTAATAGTGTTCTGTCACGGAAATTTTCATATTTTAAATTCCACCATTTCCTGCATTGTAGATTGTAGCGTTCAGTACTTATACATCTTTAAATATAATCCTGAGGGGTAATAAATCTAAGCCATGGTAAGATGGAATTTTAAAAACCATAAACCACAATTCACTATTCACTGCGTTTTACACTTATCGGGGCAATGCAATTTATCTGTGTACCTGAGCAACCCGAGTCCGATAGGCCCGCTGGTTGTATTTGTGTTATTAAATAAGAGTAATTTTAATAGTAAAAATATTTGTGTAAGGTATGTTATTATTTTTAGAAAATAATAATTGCGTGTTACATAATGATTAATTTTTTCACTTAGCACAAATTAGTTCTGTAATCGACTAATCGAATGTTCAATACATACATTTCTCTCGTATAAATCGCATATTTGTTACTGTTTTATATCTTTATTTTTCAGACAAATGTAGCATCTTTTCCTGTTGCCACATGTGTCACTTCTTCACTTTTTCATTGTTGGACCTAACGTGAGGCGGGCTTGGCAGGTCCGTTTTGCCCTAGAATGTGCCGATTATGTTTAAGTGTAAATCTTGGGCAATAAAATTAATATTTTTACAACCCTCGGTAGAATAATTTATCGTGATATATTCTCAGAAATCGTGAAACGAGATTAAAATAAAATGAGTTTCAACAAAAATCTGAAAATTTGAAGTTGCACTCTGGTGATTCCGGCCTGCCAGGCAGCCTTTGATCCTATAAAGGGTTTAAATACCTTTCTAAGAAATTGTACTTATTTTGCCTTAAACGGAACCAGAAATTCTTTCTAAAATGTATATACCTGCCGCACCGGGATAGACGATTACCGGACATGGTCATAAAACATCGTAAGCCGATATTGAAGAATAATAATTTATGACAGGTTGCCGACAACAGAGCTTCAGCACAAAATAATCATTTTCCCCTATTCTTTTGAAATATTAATTTTAATGCTGGAGATAATTATTAAATATACTTACTCAAACACAATTTGGACACTGTAGTATGGGAATAAAAACAAAAAAAATATTCTTTTGAAGCGTACGTAATAAATATTGCACAGTTTGCGACACATCAAACAGCGAAGCGATGGTCTATTTGCAGGAAAAAAAAAAGATTTTTCAGTCTTGAATAACAATGCTACAGTAAAATGTTTATTTTTTAAATTTAGGACCACAATCTCTTCTTCTGCACCTGTGGAACGGGTGTTTAGTAGCGGAAACCAAATTTTGACACCAAGCAGAAATAATTTAGGTGACAATACGTTCGAAATGTTGTTAATTTTAAAAAATTCATTCATAAAAAAAATACATAAACATGTTTCCAGTTATTTTATTCGCCAAAGTTTCAAAAAGTATCTGTTTTCTTGTATCTGTATCTAGATACATTTCGAAAAAATCTAAAACAATCTGTATCTAGATACTTTTGTCTTCCATATATCTATATCTGTATCTAGATACTTTTAAAAGTATCTGTCCCCAACACTGCCTATAATTCATGGCCGAGGGAAGTTCTGCTGAAATAACTTTAGACCAATTTTTTTCGTGTCGAAATTGACGTCCAGGTCCTTGCTTAAATGTTGATTAGAACAATTTCAAATGGGAAAACTCACTTCAAATACAGTCATAGTTTTGCGCTTTATCAGTGCATTCATATTATTAGAGTAATTATTAATTCGTTTCCTACAGTAGGTGAAGAAATGGATGGCAGGCCAAAATGTCTTTTCGTAATATAATGCGTTCAGATCAAAGGCAGTGGCGGAATATTGGTGATTAAAACATGACATATTAATGAATTCAGAAAAACAAGGTTTACAAGAACTGCTAAAAAATATATAAGATGGCATACACTGTTACTGGTATTGTCTATATTTATTATAAAGATTTTTACGAATAAAAGTTCGCAAAATTAAATTTTATATTTTTTCGAGGAAACGGGATTGCATGACTGGACTGTATTTCTAGGGCGAGGGAGTCCTGCCGAAATGCCGTTACGACAGTTTTTTTTTTAATTTATGGAAGTTACCACAAAAAAATTATAACTTTCAGAGAAGCAAGATTTGTTAGGCTGTATATTAGCGAGGGAAATTCTGTCTAAATAACTTTAGACCAATTTTTGAATTTGGGTTTCAGTGATTGGAACAATTACTTACTAATTACTTTAACAATTACTTTTTGCACTTTGAAAAATTTGATGAAGACACAATTTTAGATATTTGTTATATGGGTCGAAAAGGTCAAGAAAAGACGTGTTAGAATGAAAAAGGCAGTGACTGATTTATTGTACTAAATCATTTGTTACATATTCACATCAGTAAATAAAATAAAACAAATAAATACTTCACGCAAGAGGACTATATTCATAATTTAAATTCAATAATAACTGACATTCAAAATTTTCGTCAGCTAAGGCATGACGTTTTGTCTTAAAAACATCCGCGCCAACATTAAACTACCTTTCCACTACGGCGCTAGATGGAATTGTCGTGTTATATTTTATAAACATATTTCTAAAACATGGAGCACTTGGCTCCTTTTATTCTTTAAAAATTGTCAAAATGTATTTTTATCAAATCTTCATCTGAGGGAGTGACTATCTAAAGGAAATTTGAAAAAATCTTCTAAATCTGCAAATAGACCGCATCGACTAATTTTTATACTTAATTGTTCTTCTAAGCCTATAATGGCAACTAGTATAGGGCAATATGTTACATATTTTACCAAAAATTGAAGAGCCGATTCTTTTGCGCCTAAGTTCGATGCCAACTGCAAAAACTTTTAAACAAAAATTTGCATTGGTGGGAGATTTCAAAATATCTTATTGGCTACGTGTAAATATATGGTAAATATTAGTCTACCGATAATTACCTGCGGACACAAAAACTTGTATTCTTTAATAAAAAGGATGTTCCTAAATACTTAGAAGGGGGCTACAACATAATGTAAACTTAAAAGTCTGTCTTTAATTGCCTCTTACTTGGCGTTGTGACTTACATATGAAATTTAGAAAACGTTAGAGGGTGGACACTCTTAAAAAATTTTATTGTCGGATTATGAGGGATTTAAAAGGACGGGTTCTATCGGTTACCTGTTATAGATTTGAGTGGACCAGAAGAATGGCTAAAGTTTGTTTGACCACAAATTTTAAATATTCTGCCCCTGTTTACTCAATTATTTATTAAGATATTTTATTTTTGTAAGCGCAGTGGATTTTTTAATACAATTTCTACTAATCTAACTTTTTGAAAATTTAAAATTGATCCATAAATAGCTAAAACCAGATAAACTCATACTCATCACAATTTTAACGCGTTGTAGTTTTTTTTTACGACAAAATTTAAAAAACAGGAAATCAACCTGGGTAGGGTTTTTTACGCTCATTTCAAGGATGTGAAGTTTATTACAATCGGACGCATACTTTTG